CAGGGCTCTCAGGGCAATTCCTCAGGGGTGTGAGGGCAATTCCTCAGGGGTGTCAGGGCAGTTCCCCAGGGGTGTCAGGGCAATTCCTCAGGGGTGTGAGGGCAATTCCTCAGGGGTGTCAGGGCAATTCCCCAGGGGTGTCAGGGCAATTCCTCAGGGGTGTGAGGGCAATTCCTCAGGGGTGTCAGGGCAATTCCCCAGGGGTGTCAGGGCAATTCCTCAGGGGTGTGAGGGCAATTCCTCAGGGGTGTCAGGGCAATTCCCCAGGGGTGTGAGGGCAATTCCCCAGGGGTGTCAGGGCAATTCCTCAGGGGTGTGAGGGCAATTCCCCAGGGGTGTCAGGGCAATTCCTCAGGGGTGTGAGGGCAATTCCTCAGGGGTGTCAGGGCAATTCCCCAGGGGTGTCAGGGCAATTCCTCAGGGGTGTGAGGGCAATTCCTCAGGGGTGTCAGGGCAATTCCCCAGGGGTGTCAGGGCAATTCCTCAGGGGTGTGAGGGCAATTCCTCAGGGGTGTCAGGGCAATTCCCCAGGGGTGTGAGGGCAATTCCTCAGGGCTCTCAGGGCAATTCCTCAGGGGCAGGCTGGCACTGTGGGGATCATCATCCTGAGCAGGGCAGGAGCTGGACTGGGCACCCCATCCCTGCAGGTGCTTCCCCACCCCTGCAGGTGTGTCCCCACCTCTGGAAGAGTTTCCCCACACTCTCCAGGTGTTTCCCCGTCCCGATTTTCCATCTCCCCCCGCCCCGCTCCATGATTTCGGCATCCCCCCGACCGCTCGGCTCCTCCCCGCCCCAGCCCCGCTCACGCCGCCGCCCCCGGGCCGCGTCCCCAGCCCGCCCCAGCTGCCGCTGTCCCCCCAGGCGTTCTTCGAGAGCCACCCGGCGCCGTCGGCGGAGCGCACGGTGCAGCAGTGCTGCGAGAACATCCTGCTGAACGCGGCGTGGCTGCGGCGCGACGCCGACAGCATCCAGCACTTCCTGCAGCAGCGCCGGGCGCCGCCCGCGCCCGTGTGAGCGCCCCGCGCCCGCCGCGGCCGCAGCGCAGCCCCGGGCACCGGGAGGAGCCCCCGCCGCCGCCCCACATGCCAAGAATTCGGGAGTTTGGTTTTGGTTTGTTTTTTCCCCTTTTTCTTTTTTTTTTCCCTCCTTTTTTTCGTTTTTTCCTCCTTTTTTTTCCTTTTTTTTTTTTTTTTTTATTTTGTTTATTTCCTCCTCCTCCTCCTCAAGCCCGTGGGGAATGGACCGTGAATGTAGAGTTTAATCGGTTCCTGCTCACACACTCCAAGAATTTGGGAAAATTCTGTTCGGAAAAAAAAAACCAACAGCAGCAACAACAGCAACAAAAAAAAAATCTGTCAGCGATTCTGCAGAAAGAGAGAGAGAGAGAAAAAAAATACAAAAATACAAAAAAAAAGAGAGAGAAAAGTCTGTAAATATGATAGTAATAAAATAGAGCATAACAAAACTGTGAAACTTCCTCAAGCCTTGTCAGTGGTTAAAATATTTAACACCCCCCTCCCCTTTCCTGACACTTACTGACGGATGTTCTGTTTTTTACGCCCTCCCTCCCCCAGAAGGGGAAAGCAGGGGTGCTGAGGTCAGCGCAGAGCCTGAGGCAGCAGCGGGGCCCGGGGCCAGGCAGGTGTGGTTGGACAGAACCCGTGCGAGGTTTTGGGGAGCTGTCCCTGAACCCCTCCCCACCCCAAGGATAGTAGGGTTCCCTTTCCCTTTTGTGTTACCTCTCAAAAAACCCACAGAAAAACCCAAAAACCCCCAAAACCCCCTGTTCTGTTTCTCCTGGGTTCCCCCGCCCCTGTCGCTGGTGTCCTTCGAGCAGAGTCGGGATTGTAAAGGAAACTCCTCTCAGAGCCACATTAAAGCAGAAAGGTTCGTGCAGTTTGATTTCATTTCCGTTTCCTCCCGGCCCCTTGTCCCATGCAGGGGGACGGGGCTGCCCTGCTCCTCCTGCTCCTTCCTCTCCATCATTGCCGTGGAAAGTGCGATTCTGAAGCCTTAAATCAGTGATGATGATGATGATGATGATGATGATGAAGAAGATGAAGCTGTGCCATCATCCCCTCCCAAAGCAGCGTGGTCCTACTAACCAGCCACCCTCTAATACACAAAGGTTGGAGTTCCAGCTTTTTATTTTTGGTTTTTCCTCCCTTTTTTTTCCTTATTTTCTTTAACAGGAATTCGTATTTGGTGTGGCTTAACTGTTAATTTTTTCAGAAGGTCATCAGATTTAACTTGTCAGACTGCTTCCCCCTCGAGACATTTTTGTGCTATTGTTTAAAAAAAAAAATTACAAAAAAACCCACAAAAAATCCTAAAAAAAAACAACAACAAAAAAAGAGTACAAAATAAAAAAAAAAAGATTTAAAACAGTTGGCGTTAATAAAAATGTCAATGTGAAATCCACGTCCTCACCTTGTGTTGTGTTTGAAGGCTGAAAGGACCCAAAGCTGGGTTTGTTTGGAGGCTGAAAGGACCCAAAGCTGGGTTTATTTGACCCAAAGCTGGGTTTATTTGAAAGCTGGAAGGACCCAAAGCTGGGTTTATTTGACCCAAAGCTGGGTTTATTTGGAGCCTGAGAGGACCCAAAGCTGTGAGGGGACAGCAGAGGCCGAGGTGTCACCTGCAGGACCCCTCCTGTGCCCCAGGGGTGGAGTTCAGGCTGACAGACCCGGATCAGAGCCTGTGTAATGTGAATAAAAACCACCCTCAGGCACTCCAGAACTGAATCTAGCAGAGAAACGAAAGGGGAAACCTAATTGTGAATAACAAACTTTATCAAACGGCACCAAGTTGACAGAATAACACCATGGAGGCGCTTCCAGGGTGGGGAACCCCCCAGAAATGTGAATTTTGGGGCTCTGAGCTCTTGGCTGTTGCACTCCCCGGGCTGGGGTTGGGAATTCCCTGCGGTCAGCACCAGCCCTGCCCCAGGCTGAGCCGCTTTCCCTTCTGCTCCCTGCACACGGACAAAGTGAAAACAACCGCACAGAAACAACAGAGCCGGGTGCGAGCAGCTCAATCCACAGCTAAAGAACTTTGGGATCGGTCCTTTCCATAGGAAATCCTCATTTTTATCGTGGGAGACAAAGTGAGGCTGGGGAGAGGGGCAGGACGAGGACAGAGGAGTTTTGGGGTGCGGAAAGGGCTGAGCCTGGACGCTCATGCAGGCCCTGAGAGCAGTTAAAGGAACTTTTAGATTTGGCCATTCCATAGGAAATCTTCAGTTTTATTGCTGGAGACGAAGTGAGGCTGGGGAGAGGGGCAGGACGAGGACAGAGGAGTTTTGGGGTGAGGAAAGGGCTGAGGGGACGATTATTGAGGGAATTGTGGTAATTATTGAGGGAACTGTGATAATTATTGAGGGAATTGTGGCTGCCACACCCCTGCAGTGTCCCTGTGGCACCGGGGACAGCGGGACCTGTCCCTGTCCGTGGCAGGGTGGCACTGGATGAGCTTCGATCCCCTTCCCACCCAAAATCAATCCCGTGATTTTGCCCACGGGGTTCGGGAGCGTCCCGGGGACCTGAGGGACCCAGGGAGGGATCCATGGGCCCAACCCAGAGCTCCCGGAGCTCCGCGAGGTTCGGGATCGCCACCATCGCACGGGGAGCTGTCCCAGAGCCCGACCTCTCCCTCCCGAGCAGGAATTCCTTCCCCAGCCCCCGCCCGGCCCTGCCCTGGCCCAGCCGGGCTCAGTTCCCCCGCATTCCCTCGGATCCGGTGTCTGGAGCGCGTTCCCTGCCCGGGATCCCGGAACGCCCCGGGAGCGGGGCCGAGCGCGGCGCTCCCCAGCCCGGGGCGGCGCCCGCCTCTCCCGCCCTTCCCGGAGCCTCCCGGCCGCGGGAGGGGCCGGGCCGTGTCCCGGTAATTGTCGCTTGTCCCCGCGGTGTTTGCGGTTTGTGTGTCACTAATTGCCACTTGCGGCCCGTTAATTAATTATCACCCGCCGTTCTACACCGGTCCCGTTTTCCCTCTTTTCCTGCCCGTTCCCGCACCCGTCGGCTGTGCCGGTGTCATCCGGTTTGGGGACACACAGGGATGCGGAGGGACCCGGTGCCCGTTCCGGGGCACTCGGGGGACACCGGGACCGGTGCGGGGCGGGTCCTGGCGGGGCTCTCCCCGGGCTGCGCTTCCATCCCGGTTCCTGCGGGATCCCGGAGCGACTCTGCAGGGCCGGGCAGGACACACGGACACACCGGACACACCCCCGGCCCCGGGACACCCGCGCCGGCTCCGCTTCCCGCTGCGCGCTGAGCACGTGGCTCCTCCCAAGCCGGTTCCGGTGCCGCCGCTGCCGCCGCTTTCCGCGCCCGCCGCGGGCGGAGCTGCGCGGGCACGGCCGGAACCAGCCGCGGTGCCGGTGCCCCGGCTCTCCTTCCGCCGCTCCCGGTGGTCCCGGTGCCGCCCTCCCCCCCGCGCCCGAACGTGGTCGCGCCCCCCCCCTCCCCCCCCCCCGCGGCAATGGTCCCGGCCCGGCCCCGCCCAATCCCCGCGCGCGCCGCCGGAAGCCCCGCCCCATCTCTTTCCTCCCCCGCTGCCCCCCTTTGCCCCCCCCCCCCCGCCAATGTCCTCGCGCCGCCGGCCCAGCCAATAGAAAGGCGCGCGCGCCGGTCCGGGGGGGCCCCGCCGGCCAATCAGCGCGGCGGGCGCGGGGCGCGCGCGCGGGGCCTCCTGGCGTATCCCTCCGCCGCCCGGTGCGCGCGCGCGCCGCCGCCTCCCCGCTCGCGCGGCCCCTTCTTTTTTTTTTTTTTTTCCCTTTTTTTTTTCCTTCTTCTTCTTCTTTTTCTGTTTTTTTTTTTTTTTTTTTTTTTTTTTGAAAATAATCTCCCGCCACCGCCCCGCAGCCGCACCGGGAGCCGCCACCGCCCCCGCCCCGCTCCGGCCTCCGCCCGCCGCCTCCGCGGGGCAGGCCCCGGCTTTCCGCCCTTCCCCTCCCTCCCCTCCTCCGGCCCGCCCCGCTTCCCCCCCCCCTCCCCTTCCCCTCCTCCTCCTCCTCCTCCTCCCGCCGGCGCCGGAGCCGCCACGCCGCCGCCATGGAGCTCATCACCATCCTAGAGAAGACGGTCTCGCCGGGTAGGGCGCGGGCTGAGGGCTGCGGGCGGCGGGGCGGGCAGGCCCGGCGGGGCCGGGCGGGGCGGGGGCCGCGCAACCCGCGGGGCGCCGAGGCGGCGCCCGCAGCCCCGGGGAGGGCGTGGGCGGCGGCGGAGGCCGTGGGGCGGGCGGGAACCGTGGCGGCGGGGAGCCTCCCGGGCACGCTAAGGGGCGCGCTCGGAGCCTGAGGGCCCGGGCGGTTGGGCCGCGGCTGACGCCGGTTTCCCCTCCGCAGACTGCTCGGAGCTCGAGGCGGCACAGAAGTTCCTGGAGCAGGCGGCCATCGAGAACCTGGTGAGCGCTCGGGGCGGTCCCGGGGGTGGCGGGGCCGGTGGCGGGCCCGGCGCTGCCCCGAGCGCTCCGCGGCCCCCCCGCCCCGCCCGGCTCGGCCCGGCCCGGCCCGGCCGCCATGGCCGCTGCCGCCCCTGCCCGCGCCCGGCGGCCGCGCGGGCCAATCGCAGCGCGCCCTGCGGGCCCGGCGGCCAATCGGCGCGCGGCGCCGGGCCGGGGGGCGGGGCCGGTGCGGGAGCGGCCGCGGGCCATGTGCGGCCGCCGCGGCCATCGCGGCCCCGGGCGCCGCCCGGTCCTAAAGCCCGGCCGCCCGCCGGGACCCCCGGCCGGCCCCGCCCGCCGCTTCCCGCGCCCGCGGCACCCCCGTTCGCTCCCCGTGCCCGCCGCACCCCGCCCGGTCCCCCTGCCCGCTCCCACCGCCCGGCCCCAGCGGCCGCGGGACCCCCGGCCCGTTCCAGCGGGATCCTCTCCCAGCCTCGCCGTCCGCGGGATCCCTCCCAGCCCTGCTGCCCGGTGCCAGTGTCCGGTCCTGCTGCCTGCGGGACCCCCGCCCGGCCCTGCTGCCCGGTTCCAGTGCCCTCGGGACCCCCGTCCGGTCCTGCTGCCCGGCGCGCCGGGCCCGCCGCAGCCCCTGGAGCCCCCGGCCGGGCGGGACCGGAGCTTCGCGGTCTGGGGAGGAGCTCGGGGGCGGCCGGTGGGGGAGGGAGGTGCGGCTGGGCAGGGGGAGCTGCACTCCCGGTGACCTTAGATTTGAGGAAGAAAAGGAGTCTGAAAAAAGAAAAGAAAGGGGGAACAAAAAGCCCGGAGCCCCGGGTGTAGTCGCTGTGCTGCAGCGGGGATTGGAGGCTGCTGCTGCTCCAGAAGGGTTTTTGCTTAGTCAAGGTGAGGGGCTGCAGCTCTGGCCGCTCCCTGCAGCCGTGGGGAGCACCGGGGGTGCTGGGTCCCGGTGCTGTCCTGGTCACAGCCCTGTTATCACCCCCTGAACTGGCGCCTGGCACCCCGCAGCAGCTCCTGCCCTGGCTGCTGGGAGCTGGGACAGCCGCGGGGGTTCTGTGTCTGTGGTGCTCCTGTCAGGGTCAGTGTTGATGCAGCCCTGGTGCTGAGCCTCAGTTTTGAGGGAAAATCCTCTGGCTTGTTGCTGGGGGAGTCTCAGGATGCCCCAGCTGAGCCTGGAGCTCCGGGGCTCTGCGGTGTGAGGGATTTTGGGGTGATGGGCAGGAGCTGCTCATGGTCCTGATTTCCAGGTGCTGGGAAGGGCTGGGGAAATGTGGATTTCCTGAGGTTTCGTTTTTCCTCTCTGCCTGGGGGGATTGCTCCAAGCTTTCATTTTTACTTTGCTTTGTGAGAGAGAGGCAGGGCTGGGTGAGAGCAGAGCTTGGGCTGGCACCAAGGATTTGTGTGGGATGGGGAGGAGGAATGTCCAGGATGAGAGGGGGCTGAGACCTGGGGGAGGATGAGGGTGGGGATGAAGCCAGGAGGGTGAGGATGGGGATGAAGCCAGGGGGATGGGGATGAGGATGGGGATGAAGCCAGGGGGATGGGGATGGGGATGAAGCCAGGAGGATGGGGATGGGGATGAAGCCAGGGGGATGGGGATGGGGATGAAGCCAGGAGGATGGGGATGGGGATGAAGCCAGGGGGATGGGGATGAAGCCAGGAGGATGAGGATGAAGCCAGGAGGATGAGGATGGGGATGAAGCCAGGAGGATGGGGATGAGGATGAAGCCAGGAGGATGAGGATGAAGCCATGAGGATGAGGATGAAGCCAGGAGGATGAGGATGAATGAGGATGAGGAATTCAGGCCTGTCTCCACTGCAGGATGTGGTCCCTGGGTGGGAAGAGCCTTTCCCAGGAGAGCCCCAGGGCTTTGGGAGCATTTCCCAGCTCCCTGCTGGGGCCTCCTGCTCTTCCTCACCCCCTTCCTCCTCCTCGCCACCCCTAATTCATCCCCTTTTAGCTAATTCATCCCCTTTATTTAATTTACCCTTTTTACCTGAGCTGTTCAGCGTCACCAATGCAGATGTGCCAGCTCAGGCCCCTCTGCCTTCACCTTACCTCTCAAATCTGGGAGGTTTCTTGTGATGCTGCTCATTTTTTTAGCTGAATTTACCCCAAAACCTCATGAAAAGACAAATTTTCCTGCTAATTTGTGAATGCGAAAGCCAAGGATGCTTCTCCACCTGTGAATTTCAGTTTTCATGTCCAAGGTGGCAGCGACACTTCTGGGTTGTCCTGTGAACTGATTCTGGCTGGTTCCTCACCCCTGATATAATCAGAGTTTAAAATTTGGTTTGAAGTGGTTTAGTGGGGTCTGTTTGTAGGGTTTTTTCTATTGCATTAAGTTTAGAATATTTCTAATGCTTTACACCCATCCCTTCAAGTTTTCCCCCATTTTTTGACCCCCAAATTCTTCAGCTTGAACTGGAAGAGTTTGGAATGGGACAACTAAAATCAGTTTTGTCTCAAGAGCTGGGCTTGGGCATTGGAAACCTGGAGTCCAAGGCACTGGAGTTGTTTGTTCAACTTTTGCATTAGTTTTAAAAATGGGATTTTGGTGCCCCAAACTCTTTGTAATTTAGGATTGTTTAAGTTGTTTTTATAAAGGTGTATTTTAAGATTTCTTAAGAGATTTTAGAAATGGGTTTATTGTAAAAAAGCAGAAGATTTTTAGGAAAATCACTTGGAAAGCAATGCATCTGCTCCCACTATTTTCTAGGAAGGCTTTTCTGGGCAGGCAAAAAGCTTTTGAGGAAAAATATTCAGGAAAGAATAAAACTTCTCTGCTGACACTTGAATTCAGGGAAGCCTCTGAAACGTGAAGAAATTTTAGAAAGGCTTGAAAGAAGAAAAGGTTTAAAAATTGAAGGTTTTAGCAAAGGAAGTGGGACCAACGCCAGGGGGTTTTGGGTGCACTCAGGCGTTTTTGGGGGGTTAGTCATAATTTTGGGGGGGTTAATCATAATTTTGAGGGGGTTGATCATAATTTTGAGGGGTTAATTATCATTTTGAGGAGTTTAACATCATTGTGATCAGCAGAGGGTTTGGAATGCCACAAATCAGAGATTCCACATTTTACCCACCCCAGTTCAGGTTTGGAATCACTGGAACAACGAGCGGGGGGTTCCTCCATAACTCCCACCCAGAAAATCCGTGTTTTGCCCCATAAATGCCCTGATTTGACGGGGCTGTCAGGGCGGGCAGGAGCAGGGGAGGTGACTGGGTGTAACTCCGGTGTCGGCTCTAAAGAAATCCCCGCGGCGCTGCCGGCCCTGCCGCGAGGAGCTTAGCGCTAATGCGGCCCAGCTCCGGCTCTGGGGGGCTCTGGGGCAGCTCCAGGGCTCTGACCCCCTCTCCCCACAGCCCACCTTCCTGGTGGAACTGTCCAAAGTGCTGGCCAACCCCGGCAACAGCCAGGTGGCGCGCGTGGCCGCGGGGCTGCAGATCAAGAACTCGCTGACCTCCAAGGACCCCGACATCAAGGCCCAGTACCAGCAGAGATGGCTGGCCATCGACGCCAACGCCCGCAGGGAGGTCAAGAACTTCGTAAGTGCTGCCCTCGCTCCTCCTCTTCCCCTTGTTTGTGCCCTGGCAGGGGTTGGTTGGGGTCATCATCCGGGGTTTGCCACATGGAAAGTCTTCTCCTGGTCCCTGGAGCAGCAGCAGCTGCTCAGGTCTGGGAGTTGGTCTCATCCGGATCAGTTTTGGACAAAGAACTTCCCCCAAGGGTTGGTTGAGGGGTGGGACAGCTCCCTGTGGAATGGTCATGATCCCAAAGGTGCCAGAACTCCGGGAGTTTGGGGCTGGATTTCTTGGGTTGGATTTTGGGGGTTTCCCTCAGAGGGTGTTTGGGCACTGGGCCGGCTCCCCATGGGATGGTGGTGATCCCAAACCTCTCAGAGCTCCAGCAGTTTTGGGTTGGAGTTTGAGTTGGATTTGGGGTGTCCCCCAGAGCACAGGGCCGGCTCCCCATGGGATGGTGGTGATCCCAAACCTCTCAGAGCTCCAGGAGTTTTGGGTTGGATTTGTTGAGTGAGATGAGTTGAATTTTGAGTTGGATTTGGGGTGTCCCCCAGAGCACAGGGCCGGCTCCCCATGGGATGGTGGTGATCCCAAACCTCTCAGAGCCCCAGGGGTTTTGGGTTGGAGTTTGAGTTGGATTTGGGGTGTCCCCCAGAGCACAGGGCCGGCTCCCCATGGATGGTGGTGATCCCAAACCTCTCAGAGCTCCAGGAACGTTTGGGCAGCGCTGCCAGGGGTGAATTTGGGGTGTCCTGCAGGGATGGCAGCTGGGCTGGGCGATCCCTGTGGGTCCCTTGCAGCCCAGGATGTTTGGGGTTTGTGGAAGGTGGTGGGACAGCAGAGGATGGTTTCAGACTGGAAGAGGGTTGGTTTCGGTGAGCTGAAGGAAGAAGTTTCTGCAGTGAAGCTCTGAAAACGCTGCAGGGATTGCCCAGAGCAGCTGTGGCTGCCCCTGCATCCCTGAAGTGCCCCAGGCCGGGCTGGACATTGGGGTTTGGAGCCCCTGGGACAGTGGGAGATGTCCCTGCCCGTGGCCCTGGGTGGGGTTTAGGGTCCCTTCCCACCCAGACCATTCCAGGATTCCATGGTTTCCCCTGCAGCCGGGCTGGGCGTTGATTTTTCTGCAGGAAATGCTTTTTGAGGGAGATTTCTCTTCCCTTTCTGAGGAGGAGCTTCCCCAGGTGCTCTCCACTCCCCACCAACCCCCGTGAAATGCTCCGAGTCTGAGCAACGCTCACATGAGGCCCAGCAAGTCTTAAAAGTGGAAAATGGGAAAAAAATTACAAGTTCCAGATAGAAAATTAATAAAAATCTGTGTGTTTTCCTGAGGGTGCTTTTTGCCCAGCTGGAGTGCAGAGCCTGCAGGGACAGAAGTGGTGGCTCAGTGGTTTGTTGTTTCTATTTGGCTGATGGGAGCAAAAAATGGTGCTGGGATTTGTGCAGTGCTCTGCGACTGATTCAGCTCGGCCCTGAGCTTTATGTTTATTTATTTTTTGGTGTTAATAGAATCTCTCTCTATAATCAGAATTATTTGGGTGGGGAGAACCTTAAATTCCATCCATTCCCACCTTTCCTTCTCCCAGGGCTTGGACATGCAGGGATCAGGGGCAGCCACACCAGAGGGTGAATTTGGGTGAGAGATAATGGAGCACCTTTGCTCCTTTATTTCCATGGAATTTTACCAGGATCAGGAGCTCTCCTTGTGCACTGGAATTGAGCAATTTGCTGCTGTTTTCAACACCAAAAATCCAACATCTAGGTGGAAACTTGGAAAATGAAGGTGTGGAAGTGCTGATAAAATGCATCCCACTCCCTCCAGTTTTGAAAGGAAATGTTGTTGGTGTGTAATTGGAAATGCTGGAAAAATTAATCCTCATCTCTTTGGTTTTTAAAGAAAGTTTTATTGGCTATAACCGAGAATATTGGGAAAATGCTAATCCCTTCCTATTTTTTATAGAAAATACTATTGGTATTCAAGTGAAAATTATCAAGAAAAAGCATTTCACTCTCTATTTTTTTTTTTTTAAGTAAAAGTTATTGGTGTATAACTGGGAATTATTCATCCCATGTCCCTCCAGTTTTTTAGAGAAAGTTATTGGTGTACAACTGAAACTGATGGAAAAGTGCAAACCCCTCCCTCTGTTTTTTAAAGAATATTTTACTGGTGTATTACAGGAAAAGCTGAAAAAATCCATCCCAGTCCCTCCACGTTTTAATGAAAAGTTCCCGAAGTTCAAAACTCCTCCTGATCAATCCCAACGCCCAACAAAATTACCCAGATAATTTTGGCATAAAAAATTTGCTTTTTGGGGTGAATTCAACCCTGATTTGTTGAACCTTTACCCCAGCAATCCCAGCCGGACTCCTCACATCCCCAGCACCGTTTTTCCAGAAGACCCCGGGTGATTTGTGGCCAAGCTGTGGGGTTTGGGCTCTGTGGGTGATTTATCCCCATTTCTCCCATCCCTGGCCGTGCAGGTGCTGCAGACGCTGGGCACAGGGGATCTGTAGGTGATTGATCCCCGTTTCTCTGGGCACAGGGGCTCTGTGGGTGTTTATCCCCATTTCTCTGGGCTCTGTGGGATAATTTATCCCCGTTTGTCTGACCATGCAGGTGCTGCAGACGCTGGGCACAGGGGCTCTGTGGGTGATTGATCCCCGTTTCTCTGGGCACAGGGGCTCTGTGGGTGTTTGATCAGGCTCTGTGGGTGTTTATCCCCATTTCTCTGGGCTCTGTGGGATAATTTATCCCCTGTTTCTCCCACCGTGCAGGTGCTGCAGACGCTGGGCACGGAGACGTACCGGCCCAGCTCGGCGTCGCAGTGCGTGGCCGGCATCGCCTGCGCCGAGATCCCCATGAACCAGTGGCCGGAGCTGATCCCGCAGCTGGTGGCCAACGTCACCAACCAGCACAGCACCGAGCACATGAAGGAGTCCACGCTCGAGGCCATCGGCTACATCTGCCAGGACATCGTGAGTGGGGCAGGGGGCTGCGGGGCAGGGGGGTCTGGGGTGGGAGGGGGCTGGGGCCGTGATGGGCTGGGCTGGGGCTGGGATTCTTTGGGGTGGAGATTTTTGGATTTTTTGGGTTGGAGTTTCTTGGATCTTTGAGTTGGATTTTGGGGTGGATTGGTTCTTGGGTTGGAATTGTTTGGATTCTTTATGTTGGAGTTTTTTTGGATTTTTTTGGGTTCGATTCTTTGGGTTTGAGTTTCTTGGATCTTTGGGTTGGATTTTGAGTTGGATTGGTTCTTTGGGTTGGAGTTTTTTGGATTCTTTGAGTTGGAGTTTTTTGGATTCTTTGGGTTGGATTCTTTGGGATGCGCTTTGGGTTGGATTGGTTCTTGGGTTTGAATTTTTTGGTTCTTTTGGGTTGGATTTAGGGTTGGGTTTTGGCTTGGATTCTTTGGATGGGATTTTGGGTTGAAGTTTTTGGGTTGGAGTTTCTTGGATTCTTTGGGTTGCGTTTTGGGTTGGATTGGTTCTTAGGTTTAAGTTTTTTGGATTTTTCGGGTTGGATTTAGGGTTGGGTTTTGGCTTGGATTCTTTGGATGGGATTTTGGGTTGGAGTTTTTGGGTTGAAGTTTTTTTGATTTGTTAGGCTGGGTTTAGGATTGAGTTCTTTAGGCTGGACTTTTTTGGTAGGAGTTTTGGTTGGATTTTGAATTGGGGCTTTTTAAGTTGGATCTTTTGTTTGAGGATTTTGTTTCTTAAGGATTCCCAGGAGATTTTTACGGTCTTGGGCTTTTCCAGCCTTAAGGAAATCCTGCTTTCCGGGAGATTTAGAATTATCTCGGAGGGCTTTCCTGACCTAAGGATTCCCAGGACGCTTTGATGATCCTTTGCTGATTCCCAGCCGTAGGCATTCCTGATTCCCAGGAGGTTTTACGGCTCTGGAGGGAATTCCCTGGTTTCCAGGAGCCTTTTCCCCCTGCTGGCAGCCCCAGCAGGTTCCTGGAAGGCCTGGCCTCCTTTCCCACCCCAGATCCAGGTCAGCGTTCCTGAAGGGAACCTGGAGGCTCCCACAGGCTGAGGGAAAACCTCGGCTCAGCATCCACGTCCCAGGGAAAGCAGGGACCTGGGCTGGAAAACCCGGGATTTCCTCTGGCCAGGGGAGTTCTGGAGCGTTTGTGCTCAGTTCAGGCTTCTCCTTCCCGTCCCCGGTGCTGCAGGAATTCCTTGGATTTCCCACGATTTCCTGGTTTATCCTAAAATCTTTCCAAAACATTTATTTGTAGATTCTGCTGCTTGAAAACAGAAAAATCTATTTAAATCACAAATAAACTTTAAAAATCCGTTTAAGTCATAAATAACTTTATCCAGAATCTTTTAAACGTTTTTTTTTTCAGGATCCAGAGCAGCTCCAGGACAAATCCAATGAGATCCTGACTGCCATAATCCAGGGAATGAGAAAGGAGGAGCCCAGCAACAATGTGAAGCTTGCAGCTACCAACGCACTCCTGAACTCTTTGGAATTCACCAAAGCAAACTTCGACAAAGAGGTGAGGAAAAAACCCAAAAATGCCAAAATCTTGGGAAGGCATTGCAGGGGGAGCTGCTGATCCACGGTCAGTGATGAGGTTCATGCACCACGCTGAGTTTTGATGGATAAATCCTGTGGAAACTGAGACCTGGATGCAGCTCTGGGCAGGCAGGAGCGCTGGGGGCCTGCAGGGAGGGGAGCAGTGGCTTTTTCCTTTTTCTCCTTCTTTTTTCCTTTTTTTTAAAAGAAATTGCTGAAATAATTCAGCAGGATTTTTGAATTCTGAAGTTCTGCTGTGTCTTTATTTTGGACAACCTTGAAATGGAAGTTTTGGATTCCCATTCTGAGGGGGAAAGAACAATTTCCCATTTTGGGGGAAACAACCACTTCAGTTTTGGGGAAAAGCACTCCCATTTTGGGGGAGAAATATTCCCATTTTTGGGAAAAAATGGTTTAAGATAGAGCAGGGAGTGGTGCCCTGTGCCTGTGCTGGTCCAGACCTAAATTCACCCTCCCTGGGAAGCCTTTAAAAGCTTAAATTCTTCTTTAAACCCCTTTTAATGTTCTTTTATTTCTCTTCATTTCAGTCCGAAAGGCACTTTATTATGCAAGTAGTCTGTGAAGCCACACAGTGTCCAGACACAAGGGTGAGTGAATTCAAAATTCCCTTCCTGGGGCGTCTCTGCCTGCCAAAAATATGTTAAAATTAAAATAAGAAAATTGTGTGAAATTGGGCATTTTTCTCTGCCCCAGGTACGAGTGGCTGCCTTACAGAACCTGGTCAAGATAATGTCCCTTTATTATCAATATATGGAGACCTACATGGGGCCTGCCCTCTTTGCTGTGAGTGGTTTATGTTTTATTTATAAAATAATTGTATAATTAATTCTAAAATAAGTTATATATTTATAATAAGCATAATAATTGAATATATAATAAGTATATGTTAATATAATGTAACAGTATAATAATATTTATACATTGATACGTTAACATATGTTAATAATATGTAAGTAATATATTAAATAAGTTCCCGTGTAATAAATTATTTATGTATAATAAAGAAATAAATTTTATTTCTAATTCTCATATTTAGTCTTCTGATTTTCCTCTGCTTGTATTTTCCCCCATTTGTATTTTTATTTCTCTGATTTCTCCTCATTTGAATTTATATTTCTCACTTTTTTTGGCTGATCTCCCTGTGTTTATATTGATATTTATTTTCTTGATTTTCCTCTATTTATATTTCTGTGATTTCCCTCATTTGTATTTCTCATATTTATTTCTCTACTCTCTCTCTACTTGTATAGGTATTTCTCATGTTTATTTATATGATTTTCCTTTGTTTATATTTATATTTCCTCATGTTAATGGCTCTGATTTTCCTTTGTTTATGTTTCTATTTCTGATGTTTATTTCCCAAATCTCCCTCAATTTCTGTTTATATTTTCCATTTTTATTTCTCTGAAGGCCATCTCTTTAAAAACCTCCATTCCTGATTTTCCTTTGTATCCCTGGGAATCCCAATCCCTGAAAAATCCCTACAAACCCCATCCTTGAGATTCCAAATGGGACAAAAACCTCAGTTCGAGGTGATAAAACGGGGGAGGAGGGGGGAAAAATCTGATTATTTGTAATTTTAAACCTCAGTAACTTGAATTTCCGGCAATCCCCAGTCTCCTCCCGATCTCCCCCCCCAAAGCAGGATGAACTCGGGCGGGATCAACCCCTAAAATCTCGTTTTTGTGCCGTGGCAGATCACGATCGAGGCGATGAAAAGCGACATAGACGAGGTGGCTCTGCAGGGCATCGAGTTCTGGTCCAACGTGTGCGACGAGGAGATGGACCTGGCCATCGAGGCCTCCGAGGTGGGGCTGGGGTCCCCTGGCACCCCCGGCACCCCTCACCCATCCCCTGGCATCTGCCATTCCTGGCTTTGGCCGCCCCTGGAGCTGCTCCTGCTATTCCTGGGGGAAATGGGGAAATTCCTGGCTGCTTTCGGGCTCACAGCACCACGTGGAAAGCCCTAAAACAGGTTTTGGTGCCTCTTTTAGGAGCTTTTAATTCTTTATTTTGGAGTTTTGAGCTCCTTTGGGAGTTGAATTTTTGGCTCCTCCTTTGGGGATTTTTGGCTCCCCTTTTGGAGGTTTTTAGCTCATTTGGGAGTTCGATTTTTGGCTCCTCCTTTTGGATTTTTTGGCTCCTCCCTTGGCAGTTTTCAGCTCCTCCTTGGGGCCTTTTTAGCTCATTTGGGAGTTGAGTTTTTGGCTTCTCTTTTGGGACTTCTTAGCTGCTGATTTGGGAGTTTTTAGTTCCTCATTTGGGACTCTTTGGCTCCTCCTTTGGGAGGAGTTTTTAGCTCCTCACTTGGTTCTGGCCCGGGTTCTGCTCCCCAGGTAAATTGGCGTGTTTTTAGCTGACTCTGCATTTGGAATTCCTGTTCATCCCAAAATCCTGGGATGGTTTGGGTTGGAAGGACCTTAAATCCCAGCCATGGGCAGGGACACCTCTCACCATCCCAGCACTCTCCAGCCTGGTGGGTTTTGTTCAAATAACCCAATTTTACCATTCTTATTCCCTATTTCCTCCTAAATCCACATGCAGCTCCATCACAGGGCTCTCCTGTGTTTTTCCTGGAAATAATCCATGGGATTAATGAAATAATGTCCAAAATTTTGGGGTCTGTCACAACCATGAGGGGCTTTATGCCAGAAGATGGTTCACATTCCCTAAAATCCACGATTTATGAGTCAGACCTGGAATTCTGGATGAAATAAAAGTAATTATCCTGTGGAATGGCTGGGGCTGGAGAGGAATTTGGGGAATTTGTTCTGCATGCAGATGCTGTTTGCAGAAATTATCTGTGGGGATCAATAACAGCTGAAACCTTGAAGGGCTCTGCATGAATCACATCCATTTTTTTAAAAGCAGCTAAATCTATATTTATGCTTGCATTCCCAAAAAATAAAAAATGAAGGATAAAAGGACAGGCAGCAGCAGTGGGGTGGGGTTTATTTGCTCCAAACCTTTTGCTCCTTCACCTCGGGGTCACTTGGTAATTACACCTGACAGCCAAGTGAAAATGGGGATAATTGTGCCCTGTGAGGAGGGATGAGGAATTAAAGTGGATTTTGGAATATTTAAAGTGGATTTTGGAATATTTACCTCAGTGCAAAGTGCCCTTGAGGCAGCTCAGAATTTGTGCTGGGGAGCAGGGCAGGGGAAAAGGGGAATTTATGCCTCCTGGAGCTGATCATTCAGCCTTTTAATGCTGAAAAAAATTACATAAAAACAGATTAAAATATTGATGAAAGTAAACTTTTCACCTCTTTTTCTTCTCTACAGGCAGCAGAACAAGGACGGCCCCCAGAGCACACCAGCAAGTTCTATGCCAAGGGGGCACTGCAATATTTGGTCCCTATTCTAACCCAGACCTTAACAAAACAGGTGAGTGCCGCATTCCCTGAGGGAATTGCAGCTCAGGAGCTCTTGGGAATGGGGCTTGGGATTCCTCAAAATCCCTTTTGGATCCCAAAAATGCCTCAGGAGGTGGCGGTCCCTGGTCTGTGATGAGCTTTCATGCACCACTCTGAGCCAGTGATGCAGCAAGTTTTGGGCTGAGACTGGGACTTGCCTCCTTTTTTCCCTGATCACATCCCAGCATTTGTAGTTTCCAGAGGGGTTTGGTGATTCCCTGTATTCCTGAAAGAATATTTGGTATATTAAACCAAATATTGCACAGCCCCTGTCTCATGTGGGCTCCAATTCCAGGGATTTTTGAGGCCTTAGGCCCTGTTAAACACTTCCAGGGATTTACTGGAGCTGTGCTTCCCAAGATTTGTGGTTTCCAGAGGGTTTTAGTGATTCCCTCTATTCCTATTTGGAATATTTAACCAAATATTCCACAGCTTCATGTGAGCTCCCAATCCCTGGGATTTTTGAGGCCTGGATTTCTTTACTCCCTGTTAAACTTTCAGGGATTTATTGGAGCTGTGCTTCCCAGTATTTCTCGTTCCCAGAGAGGTTTGGTGATTCCCTCTATTCTTGACAGAATTTGCTCTTGAGACTGTAGCTTGTATGATTGTCCTTGGTCCCAAGCTTGAAAAGACATTATTTTATTTCCCTAATCTGTGAAGAGAGCTCACCAGCCGTTAATATGAACCCCAGACCTTCACCCTAAGGCAGCACAAAATGTGTAATAATTAAAGTTCAGACTTCAGGCATCACCCTGATGTTTTTCCTGCAGGACGAGAACGACGACGACGACGACTGGAACCCCTGCAAGGCGGCGGGGGTGTGCCTGATGCTGCTGGCCACGTGCTGCGAGGACGACATCGTCCCCCACGTGCTGCCCTTCATCAAGGAGCACATCAAGAACCCCGACTGGCGGTACCGCGACGCGGCCGTCATGGCCTTCGGCTGCATCCTGGAGGGGCCCGAGCCCAACCAGCTCAAGCCCTTAGTGATACAGGTCAGCGTTTGCTTGTGGCTCTTCAGGGAGGGCGTTGGTTTGCCTGAGGTTTTCGTTTAAGGAAAGTCGGGAGGGTGTAATCTGGTTTTGGAGGTAAAAATGCCTTGTTTAGGGGCTGCTAGAGATAAAAGTCTCGTGGTTATTTGGAGGAGAATGTCTGATTTCTACATGCTCGTATAAAAAAAAAAATCAGAAGGATATCACCTGTTTTGATGGTTTCTGGAGCATGAGTTTTGTAGGGTTTTAGAGCCCAAAATCACTGGGTTAATTGATTTTATTTTAAGGAAAATCAGAAGGGTGTCACCTGTTTTGAACGTTTCTGGAGCCTGAGTTTTGTAGGGTTTTAGAGCCCAAGATCACTGGGTTAATTGGGAGAGAATGTCTGGTTTCTACATGATCTTATTTTAAGGAAAATCAGAAGGTTGTCACCTGTTTTGGAAACTTCTGGAGCCTGAGTTCTGTAGGGTTTTGGAGGGTTTCATTTGAGGAAAATCAGGAGGGTGTAATCTTGTTTTGGAGGTAAAAAATCTCTTGTGTAGGGGTTTTTAGAGTTGAAAATTGCATGGTTATTTGGAGGCAATTTTTTTTTTTCCCCTCACGTGGTTTCTCCTGGCTCCTTGCAGGCCATGCCAACGTTGATAGAGCTGATGAAGGATCCCAGCGTGGTGGTCAGGGACACGACAGCCTGGACCGTGGGCAGGATCTGCGAGATGCTGCCCGAGGCCGCCATCAACGACATCTACCTGGCCCCGCTGCTGCAGTGCCTGATGGAGGGGCTGAGCGCCGAGCCCAGGGTGGCCACCAACGTCTGCTGGGTGAGGAACCCCCCACGCCCTGCGGGAATCCAGATCCACTGGGAGCAGCAGCTCCTGGTGGGATCTGGAGGGGTTTTGGTGTCACCAAGTCGGAGCGTTCTGCCAGCAGCAGTGCAATTGTGCTGGCTCTTCTGTGCTCATCCATGAATTTGGTGAGCAGTTCCAGGGATTGGGAGTTCAGCCCTGTTCCAGGCAGCTTGTGCAGATGCCTGGGACTTTTTCCACGAGGGAATTTTCCTTAATGTCCAGCCTGGACATCCCTTAAGGCTGTTTGGTCTTGGCTGTCCAAATCTTGCCCGTTTCCCCTCACGAATCTCTCCTTTTTTCCCCCCTCATCTTTCGCCCTCACGGATCTCCCCCCGTTTTCCCCTCACGGATCTCCCCCATTTTCCCCTCACGGATCTCCCCCCGTTTTCCCCTCACGAATCTGCCCCATTTTCCCCTCACATCTCCCCCGTTTTCCCCTCACATCTCCCCCATTTTCCCTCAAGTTGGATATTTTGATATTTTGTGTCCCAGGCCTTCTCCAGCCTTGCTGAAGCTGCCTATGAAGCTGCAGATGTGGCTGATGATCAGGAAGAGCCAGCAACCTACTGCTTATCCTCCTCGTTTGAGCTGATAGTGCAGAAACTGCTGGAGACTGCAGACAGGTAAAGCAGCCTTCCCAAAAAGCCTTTTCTCATTTATTTCCCACTCCACGCTCTCAGGCTCTCCTTGGCAGCTGAGATCTGCTGTTGGATTAAAACGTGGCTTTAGTGGTATAAAAAAAACCCCAGAGGAACAGAGGATGCAAATCCCAGGAAAACAGCTCTTCCCACTGAATAATTTCTCATAGTTTTGTCCATATCTGGTTTTAGGAAGTCCAGAAGTGTCCCTTCTCCCTTTTCCTTCAGATTTCTCCTGTTTCCCCTCACGACTCCCCCATTTTCCCCTCACATTTTCCCCTCATATCTCCCCCATTTTCCCCTCATGACTCCTCCATTTTCCCCTCACATTTTCCCTTCACATCTGAGGCAAAATATTTTGCTCTCAGATGCAGGGAAAAAAGGCTAAAACTCAAACTTTATGGTGGCTCGAAGGTCACATAAATCTGACAGCTCCAGGTTCAATCCCTGGATCAGCTCCATGGACTGATGGAGCTTTTTTTGCTGCTGATTCTCCTTAAAAGCCTTGTCCCAGTTCAAAATTTAAACTCCTTCCCTGTCTTCATTTACATCCAGCCAGGAGCGGTGTCTGGCTCAAGGCTCTGGAGCCCATCAATCATCTCAGGTGCCTTAATTCCAAATTTCACACCCTCAGGGGTGTCTGGGGAGGGGCTCTGAAGTGCTGCTCACCTGGCACCAACTCCGAGGCTCCTTCTGTCCCTCTCCTTGTTGTGAGAGCTGCTGAAAATCATTTCTAAAACTGAAAATCGTTAAAAACAAAACTGCCAGAAGCGGCTTCACAAATTCCCTTTATTTCGAGGCTTTTCAAGTGGCTCCTGCTTGTCACAGCATTCAAATGGAGCTGTTGCTGGTTTACTAAAATTAAAAAAAAAAAATCTGTTTCCAAGCACTTGGAGCTGCAAATCTTCCTCCTTCTGTTGCAGACCTGATGGACACCAGAATAACTTGAGGAGTTCTGCCTATGAATCCCTGATGGAAATAGTGAAAAACAGTGCCAAGGACTGTTATCCTGCTGTCCAAAAAACCACCCTGGTCATCATGGAGAGGCTCCAGCAAGTGCTGCAGATGGAGGTGGGTAAATCCTGATTTAAAATTAAAAATTTAAATTTAAAACTCTATCCCTGAGAGTGTCCAAATCCAGGGATGGTGGGAGGTGTCCCTGCCCATTTGGGATTTAAGGTCCCAAACCACTCAGGGATTCTATATTCAGCTTCTTCACAGCCCCTGTGCTCTGAAATCTGAAAAGAACAAATATTTAAAGTACAACCTGGCTCTCCCTGGAGCTGCCAGGATCCCAGGCAGCCTCTTCACACGTGGGATTTTGTTCTTGTTTCAGTCTCACATCCAGAGCACCTCTGACAGAATCCAGTTCAACGACCTCCAGTCTCTTCTCTGTGCTACTCTCCAGGTAAGTTCTCTCTCCTGAGTTTGCTGTAGGAATAAAGTGATTTTTGAGGTGTTTTTGTGCCCCTAAAGCTGCAACCTCAGCTCCCAGCGATGAGAGTTGAATGAAAAAAGTGGATTTTGGGTCCCAGCTGACATGTGGGAGGTGATGCAAGGTTCAGAAGTCTCTGAGTTGTGCTCTAGAGACAAAATTGAGGGCAATATGACTCAAAGAATGCTGCTGGGGATTTTATAGGTTGTCTGTGCTGTCAGATTGGTTCTTGGGTTGGCTACAGCCTCAACAATCCCACAGACAACAACAGCAAAAAAAATTCCCTCGAGGCTTTGATTCCCTCATCTGCCTCTCGTGCTTGGTGCTCCTGATCCAAATGGCACCAATTAAAATGTTCTGAGTGTGTCCTCAGAATTCCCAATTAAACATCTGCTGATGAGCAGGAGCCATCAGGGCAGTGCTTAGTGCTGCAAACACCACTCAAAAAAGGGTTTTTTTCCCCGAAATCAGCTCAGAGCAACCCAGGTGGTCTCCAGGATGATTTGAGAAATCCTTAATTTCATCCTCAAAAGCTTTGTGGTTGTTTTCACTCTCCAATTTTAGGGTAATTTTTGAAAATAATGAGAAATGAGAATAATCTCTTCTTAGAAAGAGTTTCAACGGGGAATTTTCGCCCTGGAATCTTGCAGGGTGGGAACTGGGGAACGTAATCCAGGTGGAATTAAGATGCCAATTTTAATTTCTAAATGTGTTTTTTTTACTATCCCAGAACCTGAACCTGAATTTTTTACCCAGTTGCAGCAAATGCTAAAAAACCACTGAGTAAAACTCAGCAGAGGGGCTTTTTTCAGTATTAAAAAAATAAAATATATGGGGGTTTTTCCCAATTTTTTTTGTTGTTTTGCTGGAAATGCAATTACAAACATCCAGCAGAAGAAAAAACATTTGTTAATATTGAAAATTAAGTGTAAAAATCCTATCACTGGAAGGAACAACTTGGTTCAGTGGACTGTGTTCCTGTCCATGGAGTTGGGGGATTTTTAGGCTCCCCTCCCACCCAAACCATCCTGTAATTCCATAAATCAAATCTTAATTATATAAACAGCCGAAGTCCATTTTTGTGGAGTGAAAAATGAAACTTTAAATAATTACTTTCTTCTGGAAATTAAGGATTTTTTTTCTTTGCCTGGGAACTGTTGTATTTTAACCACTTCAAGCATTTCTAAACTTCAATTCAGATGGGTTCAACCCCTACAAGCTCAGCTGCGACAGAAAAAAAAAAAGGATTTCATTATTATGTTTTTTTTAATAGGCTAAATTTGGGCTGGTCACATTTAATTCCAGCTTACACATGGCAAAGCTTTGAGAACAGCCCATGCAGCAGGAAAGGGAAATTCAGCTGGAAAATCTGAATGCAGCCAAATGAACGGGACTTTGCAGCCACAAAAGCAGATTTTTTTGGCTGCAAAAGGGTTCAAACAGCAGCTCTTTCATCCTTATCAAAGCTCTCTGGGCTGTGGGAATGCTTTATCTGTAGGATAAGCAGCGATTTTTCCCCAATTTCCACCATTTTTCCCTCAGAACGTGCTGCAGAAGATGCAGCACCCATTGGTGTGGGAATGCTTTACCTTTGGGATAAATGGTGATGTTTGCCCATTTTCCATGATTTTTCCCTCAGAAGGAGCAGACCCATGGCTGTGGGAATGCTTTACCTGTAGGATAACTGATGATTTTTGCCCGTTTTCCACGATTTTTCCCTCAGAATGTGATGCAGAAGGTGCAGCACCCGCGGCTGTGGGAATGCTGTACCTGAGGGATGGATGGTGATTTTTTCCCATTTTCCACGATTTTCTCCTCAGAATGTGCTGCGGAAGGTGCAGCACCCACGGCTGTGGGAATGCTTTACCTGTGGGATGAGCGATGATTTTTTCCCATTTTCCATGATTTTTCCCTCAGAAGGAGCAGGCCCAGGGCTGTGGGAGTGCTTTACCTGTAGGATAAGCGGTGATTTTTGCCCTTTTTCCACGATTTTTCCCTCAGAACGTGCTGCGGAAGGTGCAGCACCAGGACGCGCTGCAGATCTCGGACGTGGTGATGGCGTCGCTGCTCAGAATGTTCCAGAGCACGGCCGGCTCCGGGGGGGTGCAGGAGGACGCCCTGATGGCCGTCAGCACCCTGGTGGAAGGTCAGGAATGGGGCTGGATCCGGGAAATTTGGGCAAAGTGGTGAAAAATGTAATTTGTGGTGCGGGGAGGGTGGGGGAGCTCCATCCATGTAAGTGTCCGAGGCTGGAGCAACCTGGGGTAGCGGAAGGTGTCACTTTAAGGTCCCCTTCAACCCAAGAAATCCTGGGTTTCTGGAATCCAAACCACCTTAGAGTGTGGAAATTTGGTTTCTTGTATTTTTTTATTATTCCCAAGGATAAAGCAATTAAGGAGAGCTGGGGGTGTTCACATGGCTGAGGTGTCCAAGAGCTTGGGGTAGTGGGAGGTGTCACTTTAAGGTCTCTTTTATCCCAGGAGATCCTGTGATTCTAAAATCTAAACCAGCTTGGAGCATGGAATTGTGCTCTGGTAGATCTTCTTATTACTTCCAATAAGAATTTGGGAGTTTGTCCAGTCCGGGAGCACCTGGATAATGTCACTGTTCTCAGTTGTCGAGTTGTTGAGTGATTTTTGGTTTTCACTGGGTTTTGGTGGAATTTGAGGATTTCTGATTTGTTGTTTATGGCAAATGCCAGGAATTGGGATTTTCCTTCTCACTGGAATGTTTTCCCTGCACAGTCCTGGGTGGAGAATTCCTGAAGTACATGGATGCCTTCAAACCTTTCCTTGGGATTGGGCTGAAAAACTACGCCGAGTACCAGGTATGGATCAGTTTTCTCCTTTTTCCAGGGAGATTGTGGCTGCCCCATCCCTGGAATTTTCCAGGGCCAGGTTGGATGAGTTTTGGGATAGCGAAAGGTGTCCCTGCCCATCCGGTGGGGCCACTTCCAACCCGAACAATCCTAAGATTCTCAATTCCAAACCACCTTGAGTGTGGAATTTTGGTGCCTTAGGTTTTCTTAGTTATTTCCAAGGAAAAATGTGGATAAGGCAGCAAATTCCCCTTGGAATGTCAAATTCTGGTGCTTCCCAGGGGAATTTGGAGGTTTTTTCCCCAGCCCAGATGCTAGCTGGGATTTTCTCTTGGATTATCAATCCTGGCTGGGATTTCCCCTTGGATTATCAATCCTGATGGCCTCCATGGGAATTTTGGAGTAGTTTTTCCAGCCCAAATCCTGGCTGGGATTTCCCCATTGTAATTGATATTTAGGAATGTTTTTCCAACCCAAATCCCTGACACTCCTGGATGTCCTCATGCCTCCCCTCCGTGCTGTCAGCCAGCTCATTATTCCCAGGATTTAATCACCCTCCCAGCCCTCCAGAGCACCAGGACAACCCCAAATTCCCCGGGGACTACCCCAAATCCCCCAGGGATGACCCCAAATCCCCCAGGGATGACCCCAAATTCCCCGGGGACTACCCCAAATGCCCAGGGATGACCCCAAATCCCCGGGGATGACCCCAAATGCCCAGGGATGACCCCAAATCCCCCAGGGATGACCCCAAATTCCCCGGGGATGACCCCAGATTCCCCGGGGATGACCCCAGATTCCCGGGGATGACCCCAAATGCCCAGGGATGACCCCAAATCCCCCAGGGATGACCCCAAATCCCCGGGGATGACCCCAAATCCCCCAGGGATGACCCCAGATTCCCGGGGATGACCCCAAATGCCCAGGGATGACCCCAGATTCCCCGGGGATGACCCCAAATGCCCAGGGATGACCCCAAATCCCCCAGGGATGACCCCAAATCCCCGGGGATGACCCCAAATCCCCCAGGGATGACCCCAGATTCCCGGGGATGACCCCAAATCCCCCAGGGATGACCCCAAATGCCCGGGGATGACCCCAAATGCCAGAGCTGATCCCTGCTCCGTTGCAGGTCTGCCTGTCGGCAGTGGGGCTGGTGGGGGACCTGTGCCGAGCCCTGCAGTCCAACATCCTCCCCTTCTGCGACGAGGTGATGCAGCTGCTCCTGGAGAACCTGGGGGTGAGTGGGAGATTCCCGAGTAACAGTTGGATGCTCACTCTCCCCAGGGGAGTGGGAGGTGGGAGAAGCCTGGGAAAAGTGGGAGGAATGCTCCGGGAATGTCTCGTGTTTCGCGCGGTTTGAGCGCAGCCAGGAGGTGCTGGGGGCACGGGCTCTGGGCTCTGGGCTCTGGGGGAATGCCTGTTTATCAGCTTGCTGAATTCCTGAATGAATTCCTGCCTGGATTCCTGAATTCCTCCCAAATTCCTTCCTCTCTCCCACTCTGCGTCACTCCCACTCGCTCTCCCTGAATTCCTTCTGAATCCCTTCCTGGATTCATTCCTTCCTTCCTGGATTCCTTAAAAATTCCTTCCTTCCTTCCAAATTCCTCCCTCCCTGTTGAATTCCTTCCGAATTCTGAATTCCTTCCTTCCAAATTCCTTTCTTCCTTCTGAATTCCTTCCTCCCTTTCCCTCCCTCTCCCACGTTCCCGAGGCATTTCCAGGCATTTTCCAACCCCTGTTCTTGCTCCAACATTTTACACCCCTTCCACTGGAGAAACATTCTGGAACACCCCACACAAACCCCCCGGTGCAGCTTGAGCCCATTCGCTCCTTTCCTTTGCCCCTTCCCACCCTGATCCAGGCCCTTTTTGGGGTGTTTTTTCCCCAGAACGAGAACGTGCACAGGTCGGTGAAGCCGCAGATCCTCTCGGTGTTCGGGGACATCGCCCTGGCCATCGGCGGCGAGTTCAAGAAGTACCTGGACGTGGTGCTCAACACCCTCCAGCAGGCATCCCAGGCCCAGGTGGACAAGGTGAGCTGTCCCCAGGCCCAGGGGACATTCTGGGGTCTCACCTCGCTGCCCAAAGAGGCTGGACAGAGTTAAATTAACCAAGCAGGGATTTATTGAAAGGCTTCAAGGATGCACCTTGGGCAGCACAGGAGCCTGGCTGTGGCTACACCCGAGATGGACTCAGAGTCAGGAGTTTTCACGCTTCTATAAGTTTTGGTCCATTTCCATATTGGGGTTAATTGTGCAATTACAGCTCCAGGTTGTGCAGTCCCATCCTCACAGATTGCTCCCCTCAATTTGCTTTGTTTGCACTTTTTGGGCCTTTTTGTTGTCTGCACTTTCTGGGCCTGTCCTTGTCTCTGGGGCTGAAGGGTTGTTGTGTGTGACTGAGCTGTGAGCAGCGCCTGCTAGCACTCTGTGTGAGTTCAGAGCCACGTGTGGAGAGCGGGAGAGCTGAGGCTGCAGGCGCCACTCACTGTGTCCGTCTGTCTGTCCCTGTGTCTGTCCGTGCGTCTGTCCCCAGTCCGACTACGACATGGTGGATTACCTGAACGAGCTGCGGGAGGGCTGCCTGGAGGCCTACACGGGCATCATCCAGGGCCTCAAGGGAGACCAGGAGAACGTGCACCGTGAGTGGGGTCCCTGTGGGAGCCACCCTGAGAGCCAGCCACCCCCTGCAATCCTGGATGTCCCCAAATATCCCACTCCAACCTCCCTGGGCCTCCTTTTGGGGTTGTCACGTCCCTGCTCCTTCCCTTCCTTCAACATCATCCAGTGTCACCTCCAAACCACATCCCCAGCGGCCTGTCCACCTGGTTTTGGACACTTATAACCCTTCCAGTGGAGAAATATTCCCAAATATCCCACACAGACCTCCCGAGCCTCCTTTTGGGGTTGTCACGTCCCTGCTCCTTCCCTTCCTTCAACATCATCCAGTGTCACCTCCAAGCCATGTCCTCCGGTGTCACATCCACACATTCCTCGGGCATTTCCTGGCATGGGGACTGCTCTGGGAAGTTGTTCCAATATTTTGTAACTCTTCCTGTGGAGAAATATTCCCAGTTACCTGATACAGATCTCCCTGAGCCTCCTTTCGGGGCTGTCACATCCGTTCCTTTAAAATCATCCAGTGTCACCTCCAAACCGCATCTCCTTTTGTGCCCTTACTCCCCTGAATCCCTTTTCCCCCATGAATTCCCTTTTTCCCCTGAATTCCCTCTTTTTCCCCTTAATTCCCTGAATTCCCTTTTCTCCTGTTGATCCCCCGAATCCCCTTTTTTCCCTGAATTCCCGGTGCCACATCCCCGCATTCCTGGGGCATTTCCAGGGATCCAGGAGCTCCCCCTGGTCCTCCCTGTGGGGTTCTCAGATCCCCCCAAACCCTCAGAGCAGGAAGCGGCACAAACCCCGATCAGTGCAGGGGCGTTGATCAGGTCCAGAGGGAGGGTCCGGGTGGGGGCCGGGCTGGGTTTGGGAGCGTCCCAGCCGTTCCCAAAGCCCTGAGCAGGCCCTTGCCCCGCAGCTGACGTGATGCTGGTGCAGCCCAGGGTGGAGTTCATCCTGTCCTACATCGACCACATCGCGGGGGACGAGGATCACACGGACGGGGTGGTGGCCTGCGCCGCGGGGCTCATAGGGTGAGGAAAGCCTGGGCTCTGCCCTTTGTGCTGCCCGTCTGGGGCTTTCAGGGTCTCTGCTGGGGTTGGGGTTTGGCTCCAGGTGTGAGGGGATTCGCAGCTGAGAGAATCGTCACAAAAATCCCAGGTTTAGGGTTTTTCCAGGAGTTCGGTACCCAAAAACACTCATCCTGAGGGAGCAGAGGAAGCCAGGTTAAAATCCTGGCATCTGCCCTTTTCTCCTGCCCATCTGAGGTTTTTAGTGTCAGTTTTGGGGCTGGAGTTTGGCTCCAGGTGTGAAGGGATTTGCAAGTGACAGAATCATCACAAAAATCCCAGATTTAGGGTTTTTCCAGGAGTTTAGAACCCAAAAACCCTTCCACCTTAGGGAACAGAGGAAGCCAGGTTAAAATCCTGGACTCTGCCCTTTTTTTCTTGCCCGTCTGAGGGTTTTAGTGTCAGTTTTGGGGTTGGGCTTTGGGTGTTTGGCTCAAGGTGTGAAGCGGTTCTGCAGGTGAGAAAGTCGTCACAAAAATCCCAGATTTAGGATTTTTCCAGGAGTTTAGAACCAAAAAAACTCCTCATCCTTAGGGAACAGAGAAAGCCAGGTTAAAATTCTGGGATCTGCCCTTTTTTTCTTGCCTGTCTGAAGGTTTTAGGGTCAATTTTGGAATTGGGTTTTGGCTCCAGGTGTGAAGGGATTCGCAGCTGAGAGAATCATCACAAAAATCCCAGGTTTAGGATTTTTCCAGGAGTTTAGAACCAAAAAAACTCCTCATCCTTAGGTAGCAGAGAAAGGCAGGCTGAGGTGTTTTCGTTTCTCCTGCTGAATTGAAGGAGAATTACGGAGAATTCAACCTTTAAACAAGAACTGGAGCATTTTTAAATTGCAATGTTCCCCAAATCAGACCCCCGACCTGCATTTTGTGCCACTCACATGGTTTTTCTTGCCAATTTTCCTCTGCATCCAGGGATTTGTGTACAGCTTTTGGGAAGGATGTCCTGAAATTAGTAGAAGCCAGACCCATGATCCACGAACTGCTAACGGAAGGGAGGAGATCCAAGACGAACAAAACGAAAACCCTCGCGACCTGGGCCACGAAAGAGCTGAGGAAACTCAAGAACCAAGCTTGGTGAGGGCTCAGCCCTGCTTTATCCCACCTAAAAAACCCCGGAATTGGCTCAGCTAAGCCTGGGAAGAGCCACAATCCCAAAATTCTCTTTTCCTGGTTTTTTGTGGGGAAAAAAGTCCCATTTGGGGGTATTTTGACCCTACAAAGTCGATTTTTCTCAATTTTAAAGTTGGAAAAGTCTCCAGGATTGAACCCAACCCAGTTTTTTCCCTCACTCTTTTTTTTTGTTTTAATTTTCTTCTGATTTGAGGTGTTTTAGGTTTGTGTTTTTTTCTTTGTTGTAATCCTGGAATTGTTAAATTTGGAAAAATCTCCGAGGTGGAGTCCAGCCCAAGAGCCACATCCCCACGTTTTTAAACATTCCAGGGCTTTAATTCCCTGAATTCCTTTTTCCCCTGAACCCCCTTTTTTCCCTGAATTCCTTTTCCCCCTGAACCCCCTTTTTTCCCTGAATTCCTTTTCCCCTTTTTTCCCCCCCATTTTCCCCTCAGTTCCCTTTTCCCCCCTGAATTCCCCAAATCACTTTCCTGCCCTCAAAATCCCATTTTTCCCCCTAAATCCCTTTTTTCTTTTCCCTTTTCCAGATCTGTTACCATTGGGACGACACCTGAGGACCCCCACTGGATAAAGAACCAACAACAACACCAAGACAAAAAAAGGAAAAATCTCCAATCTCCTAGAAAACCCCCCGAAAACCCCGGGAGTGAGGACGTGTGCGGATGTTTGGGAGTGAGAGGATGCTGAGGATGAGTGAGTGAGGCTCGGAACAAAAATCCCAACCTTTGGTGACCCCCGGCATCCAGGAGGGAATTCTGTGCCCCAAAAATTCCACAAAAAAAAGGGGGAAAAAAGCAAAATTCCCACCAGCCCAAGAGCGGCTGATCTCGGAGGAGAAAATGAGGGAAAAACGGGGAAAATTGGGATTCAAGTGGTGCTCTGTGAGGTTTTGGCTGCTGGAGAGAGAGAGAGAGACGAGAGAAAGGTGGAAAATTGGGAATTTCCCAGGATTTGGGATTTTCCCAGGGATTTGGGAATCTCCGGGATGAGGCAAATCCCAGAGGAGAGAGGAGGAATTCCAAGAGGAGTGAGTGTGTGTGAGTGAGGTCGTATCCACATTCTCAACTTCCCAAAAAAAAAAAAAAAAAAAAAAAAGATTTCATTGCAGTTTCTCTCTTTTTTTTTTTTTTTTTTTTTTTCCCAAAACCACAAAAAAAAAATCCGGGAAAAAGAAAAAAAAAAAAAAACAGAAGACAGAAAAAAAAAGACAAAAAAAATCTAAAATATACAAAATTTAAGGGTTCAGCTGTTGCATTTCATAACTGAGGTTCAGGCAGTAAGAGATAGGGAAGAAAAAGTAGAAAAGAAGAAAAAAAAAATAAAATTTAAGGAAAGTCGCTTTTTTTAGGGATTTTATTTTTAGGGAATGCTGAATGTTTGGAGCTCTTGGCTTGTCCTGCTCAGCAACAAAAGCGCCTTTCCTTCCTTAAATATTCAACTGTGAATGTAGAAATGGGGGAAAAACACAATTTTTGGGTTGCAGGGAATAGAAAAATCCATTTGTCCAGCGAGTTTCAGGCTTCAAAAAGTCCAAAAAAATCAAAAAAGTCAGGAAAAAAGTTTAAAATCAGACTTTTTTTAAAAAGTGCTGCAAATTGGGAAAAGAGATCTCCTGACTCGGACTGTAGCAGAATCAAAATTGTGCCAAAGAGTTCAAAAAGAGGTGAAGAAAAATGAAATAAATAAAAATATGCACACAAAGAAAGAAAAATTTAAAAAATTCAGGTGGTATTTGGAGAGGAAATTGGATGTGAAAAAAACCCACAAAAACTGGGATTAAAAGCTGTTTATTTGGAATTATTTGGGATTTTTTTTGCTTTTTCGGGGCTCGATTCGGATCAGGCTCGATGTGGTTTTTGGTCTCTTGCTGCACTTGGAAAAACACAAGGAAAAAAATAAAAAACAGGAAAAAAAAAGGAAAAAAAAAGAAATTTATATAAAATATATAAATATATAACTTGAGTTGAGCTGACAACGCCGGCGCTTGTAAAAGGTTTCTATTTTTCCACTGCAGTTGAAGATGAATAAAATGGTGTCAAACATTCCCCAATATTTTCCTTTTTTTTTTTTTTTTTTGGGATACTCTTGGCTCTTTTCCAGAGGGAAACCCAGGAAAAAGTTGGGATTTTTTAAATGGATTTTGGGTGTTTTTTCCCAGTAATCCACAAGGAATTTTTCCTTTGCCGCTTCCCGAATTTCTCGCCACGTTGGGAGCGGAATTTTTCCTCTGGAAAAAGGAAAAAAGGGGGGAAAAATCAAAATAAAAAAAGTTTTTTTTTCCTTAGGATGTTCAGGGTTTGGAGATTTGGAATTTTCACTTCGTTTGCAGCTCTGTGGAGGTGTCGGGAAAGCTCCTGGGAGGGGGAGCAGGAAAATGGGCAGGATTTGCTCCTCAGTTCTTCAAAGGTTTATTTTTATTTTTTAGTTTTATTTTTCCTTTTAATTCTTCTCCTTTTTTTCCATTTTTCCCATTAATTTTAATTTTTTTTTCTTTTTAAATTTTATTTTTCCTTTTTTCTTCATTTTTTTATTTTTTATTTTTCCAATTTTCTTTTGGTTTTCCTTTTAATTTCTTTTTAATTTTCCTTCTAATTTTCATCTATTTTTCTCTTTTTTTTCTTCTTTTTTTTTTCTCAGAATTTTTCTTTTATCTCCCTTTTAATTTTTCTTGGGTTGTTTTTTCCTGTTCCTAGTTTTCTGTCTTCCTTTATTTTTTTCTTTTTCATTTTTTGTTTTTCTTTTCCTACCCATTTTTATTTTCCTTTTTGTTTCATTTTTTCTCCACTTTATTTTACTTCCATTTCTTTTAATTTTTTTTATTTTTCTTGTATTTATTTTGATCTTAACCATTTTTCATTTTTTCCACTTTATTTTACTTCTATTTCTTTTAATTTTTTTCATTTTTCTTTTATTTATTTTAATCTTTCCCATTCTTCATTTTTCCATTTTTCGTCCTCTTTTTTTCTCTATTTTTAATTTTTTCCAATTTTTCTGATTTTTTCAATTTTTCTGCTTTTTCCATTTTTCTTTTTCTCCTTGTCTTTTTTTTTTCCAGTTCTAATTTTTTTCCTATTTTTTCATTTATTTCAATTTTTTCCCCCTTTTTTTTTTAATTTTTTCTTCATTTTTTCACATCTCTCTTTTTTTCCATTTTTCTTCATTTTTTCCTTTCCCTTTCACATTTTTCCCATTTCCCCCAACCCTTTCCACTTCTTTTTTTTTCCCCCCGCATATTTCTCCATTTTTATTTTGTTTTGTTTAATTTTATTTTATTTTCCCCCCATTTTTCCTCCTCCCTTCCCCTTCAGTTCCCTCCGGTCCCTCCCGGCTCGTACAGGGTATCAGACATGAATGTGCCTTCAGTGCTCTGCCCTCCGCGCAGAAGCGACCGAAACACCCCGAAACACCCCAAAAATCCCAGACCCGAGAGAAACCCCCGGGATCCCCTCCCGGCGATGCCTTTTCCTTTTCCTCCGGGGCGGGGGCGACTCAATGAGAGAAATCTCAAGGGAAAATGAATACACAAAAATATGGAAAATGGAATTTCCAAAAGCCGCTCCCGGGCGGGAGGAGCCGAGCGGGGCCGGGGCCGGGGCTGGGTCCGGCTGAGGCAGCGCAGAATAAACAGAGTAGTGCAAAAACGCGCCTTGGACTCGTTTTTGGGGGCTTTGGGGGGGTTTTGAAGGCTTTTTAGGGGCTTTTTGGGGGGGGTTTTAGGGGCTTTTTGGGTTGTTTTGTTTCGTTTTTTTTGCAGGGTTTTTTTGGCTTTTTTGGGGGGGGTTTCGAAGGGTTTTTAGGGGCTTTTTTTGGGGTTTTTATTTGGGTTTTTTTTGCGGGGTTTTTCAAGGGATTTTAGGGGCTTTTTGGGGGGGCTTTTGAAGGGTTTTTTGGGGTTTTTTTTTTGTTTTTTTGCAAGGTTTTTTTGGAGGGGGTTTTGAAGAGTTTTTAGGGGCTTTGTTTGGGTTTTATTTTGCCTTTTGAAGGGCATTTTGGGCCCTTCTAAAGACCAGTTTTGGGGGGTTTGGGAGTGCTTTTTTTGGGATTTATTTTGCTTTTTGAAGGGTATTTTGGGTTTGGGGGCCTTTTGGGGGTTTTGTGTGCTTTGTTTTTTGGGAGGGTGTTTTTCTCTTTCCAAGGGGCTTTTTTTTTGGTTATTTGGAACATTTCTGGGGTGGTTTGTTTTACTTTCTTGGGGGTTTTTTTTGTGGGCTTTTCTTGGGCTTTTTTGGAGGTTTTTGGGCTTTTGGAGGAGTGTGGGCTCTTGGAAGGGTTTTTGAGACATTTTTTGAGCTTTTTTTGGGAGTGGGTTGGGGGCTTTGCACTTTTGGCCTTTCCTGAGGGTTTTTATGGGGGCTTTTTGGAGGGTTTTTTGGGCCCGTTTTGTGGGTTTTTGGAAGGCTTTTTGGGCCTGTTTTGGGTTTTTTTTGGAGGCCTTTTTGGGCCTGTTTTGGGGTTTTTTTGGAGGCCTTTTTGGGCCTGTTTTGGGGGTTTTTGGAAGGCTTTTTGGGCCTGTTTTGGGGTTTTTTTGGAGGCCTTTTTGGGCCTGTTTTGGGGGTTTTTGGAAGGCTTTTTGGGCCTGTTTTGGGGTTTTTTTGGAGGCCTTTTTGGGGTGTATCTCAGGGAATTTCCTCCTCAAATCCACCCCTCCTCAATGCCATCACTGCCTGGCCATGGATTGAACTCTTCCAGCATCTTTTGGGATTTCTGAGGGGCTTTTTTTGGGCTGCATCACCAGGAACTTGGTGGTGCTGGAGATCCCAAATTCCTGGGCATCCCGCATTCCCAGAGATCCCAAATTTTGGAGATTTCGGACTCCCCTCTGGAGATTCCCGAATTCCTGAAGATTCGGCTCCATCAGCAGCTCAATCCCAGCCCGATCCCTTTGCCTCGGGATGAATCCCTCATCCCCCACAGCCCCAACGCTGCAGCTCCACCTTCATTAATTAATCAATCAAATTATCAAAGGAACCACCCCTGGACGCTCCTCCAGCTCCACAAAACCCCAGGAAAACCCCGGCCAGGATCCGTTTATTCACCTCCCAGATCAGACATTGAAAACCCGCTTTTATTTTCATTTCCCCCAATTTTTATTTTTAATTTTATTTTAATTTTCCGCGGCGCCTCGTTTCCCGGGAGGCTCTGCCAGGCTGCTGCCCCCGCTCGGAGACGCCGTGGGAGGCGAGCGCCGAGCGCCGGGCGCGCGTTTCCTCTCCGGGGGAGCCGGAGGCGCCAGCGCGGTGTCACCAATGCCATCTGTGCCACCACCCGGCCTGGGGACACGCCGCCGTGCCCGGGACCATTCCTGGGATCATTCCTGGGATCATTCCTGGGATTATTCCCGGATCATTCCTGGGATCATTCCTGGATTTTGGAGCCCTGGAGGTGGCAGCGCGGTGTCAGCGGAGCCATCTGTGCCACCACCCGGCCTGGGGACACGCCGATATTTCCGGGATCATTCCTGGGATCATTCCCGGGATCATTCCTGGGATTATTCCTGGGATCATTCCTGGATTTTGGAGCTCTGGAGGTGCCAGCGCGGTGTCAGCAGTGCCATCTGTGCCACCACCCCGGCCTGGGGACACGCCGATATTCCTGGGACCATTCCTGGGATCATTCCTGGGATTATTCCCGGATCATTCCTGGGATCATTCCTGGATTTTGGAGCCCTGGAGGTGCCAGCGCTGTGTCCCCAGTGCCATCGGTGCCACCACCCCAGGGACATGCCAGGATTATTCCCTGGATAATTCCCTGGATTATTCCCAGGACTGGCACTTCCCAATGCTGATGTGCTGAGCTCCCACCTCAAAGAGTAGGAAAAGCTGATTTTCTTCAGAAAAAGTGGCAGAAATGAGCCAGGAGTGGATTCTGGAGCCTCGGAGGTGACAGCAGCCATCCGTGCCACCACCCCAGCCCAGGGACCTCACTGCCATTCCTGGGATCATCCCGCGTGGATTTATCCAGGAGCCTTTTTCTGGGTCCAGGCCGATGCTCTGAGCCCCCACTCCGAGGGAAAAGCTGATTTTCCTTGGAAAAGGGAAAAACGAGCCAGGAGTGGATTTTGGAGCCTCGGAGGTGCCGTGGGG